GTGCCTTTAAAAAGAAAAAAAAGGCACTGTGCCTTTAAAAAGAAAAAAAGTCACCGTGCCTTTAAAAAGAAAAAAAAGGCACTGTGCCTTTAAAAAGAAAAAAAGTCACCGTGCCTTTAAAAAGAAAAAAAAGGCACTGTGCCTTTAAAAAGAAAAAAAGTCACCGTGCCTTTAAAAAGAAAAAAAAGGCACTGTGCCTTTAAAAAGAAAAAAAGTCACCGTGCCTTTAAAAAGAAAAAAAAGGCACTGTGCCTTTAAAAAGAAAAAAAGTCACCGTGCCTTTAAAAAGAAAAAAAAGGCACTGTGCCTTTAAAAAGAAAAAAAGTCACCGTGCCTTTAAAAAGAAAAAAAAGGCACTGTGCCTTTAAAAAGAAAAAAAGTCACCGTGCCTTTAAATTTTCCCTGCTCCTCCTGCCCTTGCCATACATCAGGCAGGGGAAGAATGTTCCTGACAGTCTTCCATCCGAGAAAATTAGAAAATACCGGATATTTTACATGTCCGGTATTTTCCGTTTTTTTTCCCCAGACAGAAGACGCAATTACTGGACTGTGAAGACGAAAACCGGACACCGGGCAACCCTAAGCAGCAAAGGAGCCCGCTTTGATTCCGGAACCGCGCATTTCGAGAGGTGGAAGATGGCCGTGCGTTTCAGTGACGCGTCGTCAGTTTCAACGCGGACCCGCTTTTGCGTCTAGCAAGCAATTCTTCCCCCCAAAGCGCAGCCGAGCGGTCGCTATTAACGTCTCATTTAATTTTAGCAGCCAAATTCCTACCTTCCCTATGAAATGAATTTTCACCATTCCCCTAAGAAGTCTTCCTAAAGTCTCGTGCGGTACATTCAAGTGCCACTACCTACATGCACAAAATTAAACATGCGACAAAGCGTTTGCAGGATCAAGGGCTTAAAACGTCCAGACCTTTGATTTTTGAGTGTCCCCAAAACAGGACAGCTCCTTTATAGCCTCCCTGGTTGGCCCTTAAAAAACACAACAACAAGAGGCCAGCTTTCGAAATTGCAATGAAAAATGCCGATATTTGATGTTTTCGTCTTAAAAGGGGGCGCATTTTTTGAAGTCTGCGCGGCTCCTGATTTTCGGCCCACTCTCAGCTAGTGAAATGGCTTCACACGTCCACACTGTGGTGAAAAACGTGAGCTCACACACGTGATTTCAACACAGAGGGGGAAAAAACACACCAGCTTTTCTTGTGTTTTGAATGAGTCCCTTCTTCACGGTTTCCATGGGTTCCCAAACTGGGGGGGGTGTGAAGAAATTCCAGGGGGGGCGCGAGGCAACCCAGCCACACCCTCCCCATCAATCCCACCCCAACTGTGTGAACATACCCAGGGTTTCTCAATAACCAAAAAGGGGGCGTGAAGCCGAAAAGTTTGGGAACCACTGAGTTAGCCAAATGTGTTGTCATTTCCCGACATATTTTTTAGGGGGCGGGGCATTCTCCCAGAAATCCCTTCAGCAATCAACACATACCCCCATTCAGTACCTCCCACCCCCGTGGCACCACATGGCACCACATCTACTCTTGCCTTTGGCACGCGGCACTACGTTAACCTGTGGAACTCCTCGCCGGGGGATGTTATGATGAGCAAGACTCGAGCAGCTTTCCGCAAAAAGAGGATGGAGGTGAGGTCCATCAACTGCGGATTCCTTGTGTGTGTCTGTCACCCCCCTCGGCTCTAGCCCTGAGACTTTGGGCAGATTGTCAGCGGGGTGGCGTTTCCCCCTCCCTGCTGGAGGCCAGGGCTGAAAAAAGGCCGTAGGGCCCCGTAGAAGGCCGCGCCGTAGGAGTACAGATGGGTCCGGTCCGTCACGTTGTAAAACGAGATCTCGCCTGCCTTATAGTCTAGGAAAACCCCCACCCGGCTGGGCCGCACGCCCACCTCGAGGAGGGTGGGGCGGGAGATCACGGCCTTGTATTGGTCTCCATTCCTCAACCAAACTCTCCAAAATCCATTGCTAGGGGACATCACGACCTGCCCCTTGCGGGTCACCGTGTCCCTGCACACCCCCACATCCCACTCCTGTTTGTCTCCCACCTCCACCTCCCAGTAGCATTTCCCCGACGTGATCGTCCGGGAACCCAGCACCAGGAGATAGGGGTCAAAGCGTGCAGGAGTCTCGGGCAGCTCCTGCCGTGTGGCGCCGTGGGTCACGCTCATCTTGTCCTCGGACAGGATGAGGTTGGGGTGAGCCGTGTCCGGGTCCAGAGTCACGTCCACTGGGGGAAAAAGAGAGAGAAAACGTCACAGGGCGGGCAGAAACCTCGCGAGTCATCAAGGCCAGTCCCCTGTGGGTGTGTCCCCGGGTGGTGCTTATCTGCACTGGCCTGTATGCCCATAAAATTGTTCCACACATGGATTGGAAAAAATCCACGCATACCTGGGAAAACTTAGAGGGAACAGGACACTGACAGCTGATTAACACTCTGCCCCAGCGAGGTGGGCATGTCCCCGAGTGGTGCACATCCGCACTGGCCCACATGCCCGCAAAATTATTCCGCACATGGACAGGAAAAAGCTTGAAAAGCTTAGAGGGGACAGGCCACTGATGGCGCCCAGTGCCCACTCACTAAACCCCCCGGCAGTGTGAACATATCAAGGACTGACCCCGGCAGTGTGAACATATCAAGACTGGTGCTTTTTAGTCCTCAACGTGCTGTACAACGGACAACTGGGGTGTTCAGAAGAGGAAGCTAAAAACATTGGAAATGGAGGTGAGGCGGGGTTTAAACACTGGCCGGCAGCTTGGCCTTGTGGGAACGACAAATGAACAGGCGCTGGATGCGCCCGTGCAAAATGCTTGCGGTGAAATCGGCAATGTTGCCTCACTCCCCAACATTAGGTTTCAGAGTCAACACTCCGTTGCGATGAATCCGAGCCTTTCTCCATGCCAATCAACAAGGGCTGGCTGCAGAGTCAGCTGAGCCTCGGGCCAGGTGTCTACGATTTTCTTGCTCCCCGTGCAAGCCGTTTTGCAAAAACGGAAACGGAGAGTCGAGAATAGTCCTCAGATTAAGTCGTGAACGCCACGGGAAACTCCACAGTACAGGTTGAACCTCTCTAATCCAGAACTCTCTGGTCAACCCCTGTGGTCCGGCATGATTGGAGTTCGCCGGATCGCCACTTTTCATGGGTGTGGCCACGTTTCCCGCGATCCTGTAACGTTTATTTATGGCCACCAGCTGCGGCTCTGTGTTCTGTGCAATTATTTAGCTTCAATGTACCCATCCAGGTGTTCACAGAGCCCAGGAAGCAGCGGACTTTTTGGTAGCGCTGCTGGACAATACCGACCTCCGTGGTCCGGCGAATTCTCTCGTTCGGAACCAGTCAGGTTCTCTCGTTCGGAACTGGTCTAGGGCGCTGCATTAGAGAGGTTCAACCTCTGCAAGGCTCCGACTAGAGGAACGGTCTTCGCTTACCTTTGAATTTCCTTAGAAGATCGATAATATCGATGTTAGGGATGTTGTAGACGTTCTTCAGGTCCGTGCACACGGCTTCCGGCTCCTGCACTTGCATGCTCTCGCTCCTAAGAAGAACAGAGTCCTCGTTACCGCTCCCGGGACGGGGCCAACCCGGATGCGAAATTTCTAACAGGAGGCGCTGCAGAAAGGTACCTGCTCAAGATGTCTCTCACGCCCTGAAAGGAGAAAATGGAACGAGGAATTTACGTCCTGCGGGGATAGTATGAAACGAGGATTCGTTGGTAGGGTTTGTACGCTATTTGCGTCATAAAATAGAGCCTTCCCTGAACTGTAAACCTCAATGGTAACGTTGCGTTCGGGGGGTCTTCGGGTGAGGCCTGGCTAAAACGGCTCCCAAATAACCTTAACTCTGCCCTTTTCTGAACCCCCGCCCCCCCCCCCCCAGCGTCCGTTCCGACGCTGACAATGTGTTATTTCTAGGTAAGTGGTTACAGGGGGAGGGCGGCTTCCCTGTGTGTACAGAAGAGGGCTCCTCGCCCTCCCGTCAGCTCGCCTCATGAATATTAATGAGCCAGCCCCTTCGCTGGTGAAAGTCTGGTGGGGAAGGGGGCGGCGGCAGCCCCACCGCAG